TGAAATAATTTCCCATTTACTGAACCAGGTGGGAAATAGCCAGGCAGGCACAAAGGGTTTGCACCAGGTCTGGGGACACAGGGGACACCGTCTTAAAGGGGCCGTGTCCCCAACAAGTCTGGGGACACGGCCTTAAAGGGGCAGTGTCCCAATCTTCCTGATGTCCCAAAAAAGGTGTTTAAAGGGCCAGCACCAGTCACATAAAGAGTCCATAAGCCCCAATATGCCCACCGACAGTCTTAAAGGGCCATACACACCAAATAAAAGTGCATACATTTTCACAATCTCCCAGGGGCCATAGTCATGCGGGAGGAGGCTGGCAAAGAGGCTTCTCCACAACCCAGGGAAACAGGGCAATTTGCCATTTAAAGGGCCCGTTACAAATAGCAGTTTGTAACAAGGTGTCAATCCATATCTGCCAAGTGACCCTATGTAGGGGAACAGTCCCTATTCTGCTCTGTGTCAGTGTGTATCAGGGATCCTTAGGACAGGTGTCAATCCATATCTGCCAAGTGACCCTATGTGGGGGGACCAGTCTCTATTCTGCTCTGTGTCGGTGTGCATCAGGGGCTCTGAGGACAGGTGTCAATCCATATGTCAAGGTGTCAATATGTCATATGTCAGGTGTCAATCCATATTCATTGTGATTTAGGAATGTTAGGTGATTTCTGCCCTTTATGGATTAAAACCAGACTCTGCATCAACTGTGTAATTTTCCATGGGAGTTTTGCCATGGATCCCCCTCCGGCATGCCACAGTCCAGGTGTTAGTCCCCTTGAAACAACTTTTCCATCCCTATTGTGGCCAGAAAGAGTCCCTGTGTGTTTTAAAATTCGCCTCCCCATTGAAGTCAATGGCGTTTCGGGCGGTTCGCCGGTTCGCGAACATTTGCGGAAGTTCGCGTTCGCCGTTCGCGAACCGAAAATTTCGGGTTCGCGACATCACTAATGAAGATATGTTGTGCATACCACTATAAACAATAGAAAAAAACACATATATAGAATAATAGAGTTAAAAACCACAACTCTAAACAGAAAATATTGAACTCACAATGAAGAAATTATATTCAGGAGTATATCCACTCAATAGTGTTGTTTTTTTTACACAGCATATCCTTCTATATTAATTATAAAACAGGATATAAATGCACATGGTGCAATACATATTTATTGATACAGATGCATTTACAAACATAAAAAGAGAAGGCATACCAACACTTCCAGTGGTTCAGGTCCTAACTGGAACACAAAGATGTAGGTCAGTACAATCCCAATGCATTTTGCATTGTGTCCTGACTTCTTCAGGGTATAATGGCTTGAATACTGGCCCCTCATAATATGGTAATAAATAAATCCACCTCTGTAGTTTGCAGGCTTTTTACTTGGCTAATAGCCTGTTCACAATGTACGTTTCAACGTGGAATATGTACTTTTGATCCTTCAAGGTAGCTATGTCGATATGTCAGTTCTTGTATAATAAGGAAAGAAAAGA